CTGATTACTTAAATTATAGTTCCTATTCTAGCCTCTGAGTCTTTCTTTATTTGCAATTAAATTAATAATAAAGATTTAATCTAACGTTTTGCTCAAAATTGGAAATCGAAACTATTCATAACTATACTTTACTTTAATAAGATATTTCTTAAAATAATATTATTAACCTAATTTACCAAATAGTAATGGGACTCCTTTCAATATGATTAAGTAAACTTAATCTATTTAATCATTTAATTGCCACTACATTTATATTCCATTCCATATCAATTAAAATATGATGAAAATTATTTACCAATATTTTATGATTTGAACTTTCTCATTTAATTGAGATCTAAGTAACTAATTTTTAATTTGATTTTTTTTATCAAAATAAAATTAACTAATTTTTCACTTATATATTTAATATAATAATTATCTCATTCTTGTTTAAATCTTCTTATTTATATTTCATTTGATTTTTAATCCCAAGTAATCAAATATTCTCCATCATCACTTAATTATACAACTAAAGAAGATGTGCCGAATTGTATAGATTACTCAACTTTAAATTAAGAATTTTCTGTAAATCTTATTAAATTTACATATTTATCATGCTTATTCACAAGTAATTATTTTTATTTATTAAATTATTATGGAAATAATAAACAACCTTCATTTCCTTGATTTATAATAATATCTTTTGATCTAATGAACTATTAACTTACACTATTCATTTCATAGACATACATCATATTCCCTTTCTTAGGTTGAAATGTGAATAGATTATCATTGGTAAAGCATAATCTATATCCATAACAATCAACTTGTATTTTTTATTTTACAATCCAATTGTTATTAGGTTATGATTACTCTATTACTAATATCATTCTATCATCTCCACAAGATATAACTTGATTTTGTTATTCATTTAAACTTAATTGATTGACACAACTACTATGATCTTTAATTTGTTATTAATAGATCCATTCATTCTTTTTGACCCAAAACTTAATAGTTTTATCATCACTACTGGATATTAAAAGATCTTCATTATTATTCAAAATAATACATCTAATCCAATAATTATGACCTTTAATAGTTTATGAACAAATCCATGAATTATTATTATTATGTGTCCAAATCAAAATAGATCCATTATCTCCAGAAATCAATTAATTTGATTATTTCATAAAATTTAAAATGACCGCATCATTTTTATGTTCATTTAAAACCTGATTTAATATCAACATTCCTTATTTGAAGTCATATATTTTAATTAGTTTATTACAACCAGCCGCTACAATTGAACAATCTTTATTGATAGCAACTGCATTACAAGATTCTTATTATTTAATAGAATTAGCTAGAATTATCTCATAACTAAATGGTTTAAAATTGAGTTATGATTGAGATTTCTATTCATTTTGTTATTATTTTAATTTAAAATTAAATGACAAATTTTCGTTCATTTCTTTCATCAACTTTTCATTAAAAGTCTTAATTTCTTTTTCCCACCAATCCTTTACCTTTAATAATTGTTACAACTAAAAATCCTTTTAAGCTTTCCATTCATTTAAAATTTTTCCTTACACAATTTATACTAATTTCTCTAAGTCAGTATTTGAGAAATCTGTAGGATCGAAATCTTTGTTCACGATTTTCAAATATGATTTATCCTGCATCTCAATTGTATCATATATTTATTTGATTGATTCCTATAAATGTTGCCAAGTATTCTTCAGCATGTTTTCAGTTTGAGAGAGAATCATTAAAATATTCTTTCTTTATTCGGTGAATTCAGAATTTAGATCCATCTTAGAATCTTATAATTACTTTATAACCAGATCTTGAAATCTATGAGTCGGAATTGTGTATCTAATATCAACTCCATGTTCATATTGGCAATCAATGCAAAGTTTCCTTGAGCATTAACATGAGTGAGG